TGGCCCCAAGGCTTGCTGTGCATGTGGCAAATGCTGCCTGCAGTGCCCAGGCTGGCCTTGGCACTGCAGACAGCACAGGGGGTCTGTCTGGGGCACCACATACAGCCCGCACCCTGGAGCTCCATGTGCATCATGAAGTGCTGGGTCCAGCCCGCATACTGCAGGCAGCATGTGCCCCAGTGCCAGCCCAGCATGTGGCATGCACAGTGGGCACCCTGGGTCTGGTGTGTGCTGTATTTGGTGTGCAGGGTTGGACTGGCTGTACATCCTACACGCAGCACGGGGCTGGTGCTGCAAGTGGTGCCCTGCCAGACCAGCCCCATGCACCAGCTCTGGCACAGCTCAATCTGGACGTGCCCCGAAGCACATGCACCGGGCTGGGTCCAGTGGGGTGCCACAGCAGCATATGGGGCCGGGACCAGTACATAGGGGTGGTCCAGTGACCTACCATTTAGATCACACAGCTCCACAGGCCAGATCCAGCCTTCTGGCCATATGCTTACCACCCCGGTAGTAAAGGAAAACTTAAATATTTTAAATGGCAACATCCAGCTACTTAGGGATCACAAGCTGAGTTTGAAAACACAGCTACTGGTTTCTCAAAGCACTGCCTGACATCCGAGTAAAAGCTTTCAGCAAAATCCCTATAGATTACACGATGAAGAACAGCCTCCACAACAGCAGCTCAGGCTTTGGGCAAATCACGAAAATACAGCTGGCAAAAGGTCCTCTTTACTTACCTACGAGCCAACTAAAGAGTTTAAAGCCTCCAATTACAGACAATGTTCTTTACATGCAATAACCCTAATTTACCATCCTCCTTCCTCTCCCCTACTAGTCTGAAATACAAACATGGGGCATTCGGTACCTAACACTGATCTTATTGTTGTCATCTTTATTGCTCTGACACCAACCCAAGAAAGCTGTCCAACAGACGGGCACCCTTCGCTGGGTTATGCCTCATTTCGAGTTTATCCACAGTGCTGAGGCAGAGATGTTCAAAGCCATCTTGGGTATCTGCCCAGCCCTGCTGTGTTGACAAACACGAAAGACTGCAAGTTCCTCAATACATGGCCTGTACCACATCTTTGCACAGAACTATGCAAATCTGTACAACTGTTAATAACAGCACTGTAGTGTTGCCGCAGCTGGGATGGTTCAGGGACTGTGCGTGAAGAAAGATTTGTTTGAGGATTTTTTGCTAGACTATTTAATTGGGAGAGGCGCCAGACCAGCTTTTGGACAACAATTCTTCCTCGGGTCTGGGAAAAGAGGCAGATCTAAGGGAGGTCATTTTGTGCCCTAAAACTTACCTAACGTCTGTCTCAACTATATTAGTTGGCCCAATAAAAAGATATTACCAAATTTTGCTTCTCTCATAGTCCCTGGACTGCCATGGCTACAATAATAATACAATGCTGGTATTCATAATAGCTGTACAGGTTTGCATAGTTGTGTGCAAAGACATGACCAAGTCCCTGTATCGAGAAACTCATGATCTGTGCGTTTCATAGCAGCAGCATCCTCCGCAGGGCAAGGCATGCCAGGCTGAACTCATTCTCGTAGGCCAACTCAGCAATCAGAAGATTGGAAATGAGCTGCCCCGGTTCACTCATTTTGAGAATTGCTTTGTCAGTGAAGAAAAAAAAAAATTAATCTGCCCAACAATTCTGACCGGAGCAAAGTATTAATAGCTGTTGTTGCTTTCACAAGAGATGATCGTCTTGAAGTAGTCATCTAACCACTGAAAAATTTTCTCAGCATGGGAGAGTTGGCTAATATGCCTGTCTACACCATGTGGGGCAGCCCACGTGGAACTCTTGAATAGAGATCTTGCTTGCGAAACGTAGGGGGAAA